TATCAACTTGTTTTAGAGTAACGACCATGGAGCAGCACTGCATTTACGTGAATATATCCTGCTGGGAACGTGCGTGTGTTGTGTGGTTCTGATAGCGACCTTATGCTTGATTGCTTATCGCAAACGTTGGGTGCAGTTCGGATTCGCCTTCAACGCATCGGCACAGAACGAAGCGAATGCAAGGCGATTATCGCGATACTCTGAGCAAAAGCAGTGTCTAGCCGTATGTACAAGTTTGCATCATAGTGATATGAATTACTATCAACAAGCACAACAACAACAACAACAGCAACAACCTATCTACAAAACTCAATTGGTTAGTTCTTGCGATAGTCTCGTTGCTTCGATTTCACGTTGATGTCGTGGTATTGATTCACGTAGCAGTGTGTTGTTGCAGTGACCAAATGTTTTAGTTTCCCTTCATTTTAATGGCAGCATATTTGCTCTAATTTGTCGGTTATTCTCGTTCTGATGAGGGAATTTAGAGCTGGTTCGTTTAAATTGATCGTGATTTAGGTAGCACAAGAAAAGCATCTACTGGCAAGGCATTCGAACGAAGATGTAGAATATATGCAACGATATGCAGTCGAGCCAACAGGCAGATATTCACCCACTCAGCGTGTATCGTTTGTTGGTAATTTATCTGCAGTAGACAAGGTTTGTGTTCTTATCATGTCATTTCCTTTCGTTCCTTTAGAATATTCTACAGATTTGTTAATTTGTCATTGCATTCAGAACTTAGTGTGTACACAATTGGATAAGTATATATGTAATTTTCTTCTTTAAGATTGACATTCTTGAAAGCAGATTAACAGGTTGATCTTCAGACTGAACTGGATGATAGATTTAATAAGAAGATAATTTCAGATGAGGTTGCGCCATATAAACTGCTCTAACAATGCAGCCCAATTGTCGCCGTCTTCTTGCCGAGAGCACGATAGCGTCTACGAAGAGATTGATGGTACACCCGACGAAACCGGTGTATCCACTCAACGATGTTGTCGTTCCGCAGAAGAGGGTTCCGATTCCGGAATTGCTAGTCCGGAGCCGAATGTAGATGTAGATGGTTGTTGCTTGAGGTATTCGCAGGTGACGGATCGGAAGGTGAACGACTTTCAGACGAATCTCTGAAAGTTTCGCGTTTTGTTTT